AAAAAAAAATTAATTGAGCCTTTGAGTTATGGTAACTCAAGTCTTGGAGGTTAAGTCCTGAATATCCCATGTGCTGCCAAAAGGACAAGCAGGGATACCTCCGGGGAAAGTGCAACCTGAGTGCAGCTTCAGGCCAGTGTGACAAAGCTCTTAGTACTGTCAATTATAGTGGCTCCCCACCCCCACCTCAGTTCACCAACACACTTTCTGGGTGATGTAATAGCATAACTTTGAGTATTAGTTTTTATAATGATAATACATTGATGCTTTCGGGATTTTTTGAGGTGGTCTCTATTACATTTCCCATGGTTCCTGTTTCACACATCAGCCTTACCAATATCATGCTGTTCAAATTCAATGTCTACAGAACTGAAGGCTGCCAGGAGAAACTAGATAATGAAATTTATTAAATCAGTAATCTAATTTTACCAATTCTAATTCACAAGGTTCAATGTAGAAAGCAGTTGGCCCTGATCTACGAAACAAAATGTATGAGGTTAATGACAGCTAATTCCTTCGACTTTCTACTGGCTTTTAAACTCACAGCTGTGTTCTGGGATCCTTACCTGCCAAAAAGACAATTCACATTACTGAGCTTCTAAGATATGTAAGGAGCTTAACAGTGCATATTTCATAAAAGAACTCTAACAGATAGAAGGTCTATTTCATATATTCTCCCATTAATGGGACAACCCCTTCCAAATTTAGTCTACCTCTTCAAGCAGTAAGTGTTAAAAGCCAGCACCCTAATATAAGTCTGATCCCAAAAACTAGCCTTTTCAACAACTTAATTTCTTACTTTTTCAAAGTATATTACCAAAAGTCTGTTAGGATCATCTTGGTAAAAAGGTAGAAACATATCATTTCTAGAAGTAGGCCAAGGAAACAAAATTTTTAGCAAGCGTTCTATGTGATTTTCCATGAACATTCATGATTAAAAATCAAGGAAACAGAGAAGTCACAATAGAGAACAGTGTTCTCTTGCATTTCCTCCTACAGCTTGGACCGACTCTCCTCGGCTTCCTTTATGGGCCCTCTGTTATTGCCTACGTCTTAACCATTCATGATGGTTACACTCTCAGCTCTGCTCTTCTCTTACTTTACAGTTCTCACTGGACAAACAAATCCAATTCCAAAAATAGTACTGTCTCTTTTCTGTTTTAATCCAGCTCTCCCTCCCTGCCATCCCTCGGTAGTGCACCCTCTTAACACACTAGGAAGTGAACTGATGCTAGCTAAGTTGGAGATTTGAGTTCATCCAGAGGTACCTGAGGAGAACAGCCTAGAGATCCTCCAGGGTAAACCCATGGAGCACAGGTCTACTCTGACATATGTAGGTCACCATCAGTTAGAATGAACTCAATGGCAACTATGTCCTTTCTCTCTCAAGCTTCAGAATTGTCAATCAAATCTTCATGCACATTTCATATTTTGAATGCTCTGTCAGAAAAAAACCACCTCCAATTCACTGCTGTTAAGACTATTCCCATCCCAGTGACTCTATATTGGGCTGCCAAGACTGAGGATCACAACAGAAAGACGCTGTCCATCTTTCTCATTTGGAGCTACGGGTGGCTTTGAACCACTGTAGATGCACAGCCATGGGGTAAGTAGCAGAACTTGATTTGGACTGTAATATACCCACAGAGATCACCTTAATCCACATTCTCTCAACACCTGTGTTCTGTCTCATTGTGTCCCAGTCTTACTAAACAGTACTTCCATCAGTTCAACCCACCAAGTGAAAAAACAGAGTACCGTTCTTGATTCTTTTTTTCCTTTTCCAACTTTCTCCATGCTCCCTCTCTCACTGCCACTGATGAAAACCTAATCAGCACTTCAATGTTTTTTGTAAATGTAGTTATTTTTTCTCTTTTTCCACTGGCTCTTAGAAAGTATCACATTAAGATATTAATATTAGCAAAAAATAAGGCCCCAGGAATAGATGGTATACCAATTGAAGTATTTCAGATAACAGATGTTGCCCTGGATGTGCTCACCAAGTT